ACAATTTTATGTCAATAAATACGTTACCATCATAAATTCTGAGTAAAATATAGAATCTAACGCAAAGCTGAATCCCCTGAACCAGAAGATGCAGGGGGAAAAACAACTCTTTGTGCGGAAACTAAAGGTCCTAAGTAGTACAAACTCTGACCTTGAGTAGATAAAGACTGCAGATAGTGAGAAATGAAAGAATTTTCAGTTCTCCAGAAACCTGCAGATACGACTTCCTCTGAAGAAGCGTTATTAAAAAGGGCCCAGGAGGTAGAAATAGCTCTAACATCATGGGCTTTAACATGCATACTATTCAGAAGTTCTTCATTAGAAGAATTGTAAGCTAATTGAATAGTTTTACAGATCAAAGTTGAAATGGTTTTAGTAGACAAATCTTGTTTTCCTTTGTAAATAGGAATAAATAACCTAGAATTTGAGGAGGTGCGGAGACTCCGTGTTCTCTGAAGATATAAAAGTAAGACTCGGATAGGACAGAGTACTTTAGAACTTGAATCATCAGGAAGGGCTGGAATCACTATTGGTTCTGAACCTCTGCTCGGAATTTGATTTTTGGCTAAAAAAGCTGGATCCGTTAATAGAGTAACAGATGACTTATCCCTATTAAAACGAAGGCAGTAATCAGCAGTGGAAAACGCATGAATTTCACTTCTTCTTCTACCAGAGGCCAAGGCAAGAAGAAAACAACACTTATACGATACAAACTTGATTTCAACCTTTTCAGCAGGTTCAAAAGGATGGGTTTTTAAAGCTAATAAAACTACACTCAAATTCCAAGATGGGATTAAAACTCTCTGTCTAGGGCGTTCAAGAGTAAAATTCTTAACTAAAAGAGAAATGAATTCATTATTACCAAAGTCTGGACCTCCAGACAGTTGAATCGTCCTAGAAATAGCTGATCTATAGCCTTTAATTGTAGAGGGAGATAATCCTTTCTCTTCAAAAAGGTGGATCAGAAAGTCTGCTATTTGCTGTACAGAAATTTGGAAAGGATCAATTTCCTTCTCACTACACCAACTACTGAAGATAGTCCACTTGGCATCATATACGATGTTAGTGGAATCTCTAACTGCTCGGGAGAGATGTCTGGCTGCGCGTTCAGAAAAACTTCTCTCCTTGAAGCTATCCCTGAGAGAAGCCACGCGAACAGATGTAGCTTCTCTGGATTGGGATGAAGAATCTTGCCCTTGAACTGGGACAGAAGGTTGTGTCGTACTGGTAGAACCAGTGGACGAGCACAAGACAGATGAAGAAGATCTGGAAACCAGGCTTGTTTGGGCCAAACTGGGGCAATAAGAATGATCAGCCCTTGCTCTGCTGAGATCTTCCGAAGAACTTCTGACAGAAATCTGAACGGAGGGAAGGCGTAAGCGAACATTCCGTCCCAATGAACACTCATGCAGTCTACTGCGTAAGCTTTCCGATCTGGTACAGGAGACATGAACACTTGAACTTTGTAATTGAGGCTTGTTGCAAACAGGTCTACATGAGGAGACCCCCACTGAAGTGTTATTGCCTGAAATACTGATTGGAGAAGTTCCCACTTTATATTGACTGGGGTAAGTGTCCTGGACAGAGCATCTGCTAACACATTGAGTTTCCCTGGGACATGACGAACTACAATCTGTAGATGAAGGTGATTCCAAAGAAGGAGGATTTCTCTTGCTAAAAGGAACAGCTCGTAACAATGAGTTCTTCCTTGGTTTCGCAAATAAGCCACCACAGTGGTGGTGTCCGATGCTAGAACAAGAGATTTGTTCTGCAGTAGGGACTGAAAATGAGACAGTGCAAGAAGAACTGCCTTCATTTCTAGTATATTGATGTGTTCCTTCAAAATATCTGGAGTCCACACTCCTGAAACTGAAAGACCTTCCAGATAAGCTCCCCAACCGAGGTTGGAGGCATCTGTGAACAGAGTCTGATTTGGAACTTGAGAGGAAAGAAGTTGGCCTCTCAAAACGTTTGCTTGAGAAGTCCACCAAACCAAATGAGGATACAATTCCTGATGAATGATTGGAACTGGAAATTCCCAATCCTGTGAAGCTGGGAGCCAATGTTGATGTAGATAAAATTGAAGAGGTCGAATGTGAAGGCGACCAAGTGGAACAACATCCGCTAGTGAATTCAAGAGACCTAGCATTTGAGAAAACTGGCGAGCAGTAACTGTTTTTTGAGATAGAAACAGATGAAATTTTGAACAAAAATTCTGAAACTTTTCCTTAGGAGGTCGAACTATGCACTGACGAGTAAAGGTAATGTTCGCCTAGGAAAATAAAGTCCTGAGACGGAATAAGGTCTGACTTTTTCCAAGAGATGAGAAACCCCAGAGAGAGAAGCAATCTGATGACTACATCGGTATTGAGATAGAGTTTCTCGAGAGAAAGTTCCTTGATCAGTGAGTCGTACAGGTAAGAATGAATCTGAATAGCCTGTGAATGAAGGTGAGGTATTACTACCTGCATGAGTTTGGTAAAGGCTAGTGGTGCAGTTGACAGACCAAAAGGGAGAGCTCTGAATTGGTAAACCCTTTTGTTCCAAACAAACCGAAGGAATTTGCGGTATGAATGGCAAACTGGAACATGAAAATAAGCGTCCGTCAGATCCAGGGATGTTGTCCACATACCTGGAAGAATAGAAGCTCTGATTGAACGATTGGTCTTCATTTTGAAATGGGGAATAATCATGTAAGAATTGAGGATAGACAAATCGATGACTGGTCTCATTCCTCCTGTCTTCTTCGAAACAAGGAATAAGAGACGAGAATAGAAACCTGGATCTATTGAAGATACAGGGACTTCCTCTACTGCCCTCTTTGGCAAAAGATTCTCTACTTCTGTGTACGTCAAACATTTTACCGTTATTATACACGTAAAAGCACGGCGTTTTCCGCGGTGAATATACTTTTCCAGCAGCTGAATATGCTTTTTTATTCAAAATCCAATTCATATAGAAAATCCTAATAAAATTCTATCAATATGAAATAATAAATTAATATTCAGGACAATTACCTGTAAATATAATATGAGTATTAACCCTGCTTTGTACTAGATCGACATGCTGAGCCAGTTTTTTTTTACGCGTAAGTTCACATGAAGATATCATTTCGCAGGAAGAATAGTCACCCTACCCGGAAACATTTCTGGCTCCGAACCGACAAGTCTGTGCTCTTACTTTCAAATACCGCTAGTTTAGCGTTGAAACAGAAAATATATGTACCATTTTTTACGTCTTTGTTAGAACCGGTCGAGATTCAAACCACGACCTCCCGATCTCGAGGAGAACACACACACGAAACAAACAAGGAGAGCGATAGTACAGAATATCATACCAAAAAATAATGTACAGAGATAAATAAAATACAGTTTCACAAAAATTTCATAGTTACTAAAGTGGTGCTAAAAGTATCAAACAGAAATTAGGAATGTTAAATTATTTTAGAAAAACACGTAAATATGGATGGCCGACTTCTGAATAGATTTGATGGATCAACGCTCTCTGCAAATTCACTATTTTTGTACCAATTATTTAAGGGGTTCGGATGTGGCCAGCTGTTGCAAGGCTAATTTCTGTCTTTATTCAATATATCATCAGTTTCCAGTGATATTCCAATTTTCACGTCCTAACTTAATGTCTACATCCTATTGCAAGATCTACCTATTGTATCTAAAATTCATGTGATCTCGTCATGAACATGCATGAAATATTTGCCACTGGAGGTAAAGCAAACAACAATCAACCAACTCCATAAATTATTCAATGTACATAGTACACGAAGACAAGATCTGGTAAAATGTTTTAATGTAAAATTTCCATTTAAATTACTCAATGATAGTGCAAACTTTTTTTTATGGTTTTGCAATTTACTACATAACTAAACACCTATAATTTTTTAATGTTTTTACTATGGTTATTATCTACGATTTAATTGCGATTTATGATATAAGGTTTTATCAGGCGATTATAAAACTTAGAAAGGTAAAAGGCTGTTTTCAAGTTGTTTTTTTATGCTACATTTAGATGTGAAAAGGGAAAGACGGACGACTAAAATAAAAGTGTTTGTTTTCATATAATATATTGTATTTCAATTTGAGAATGATTATCAACCTTGCGAAAATATTCCATCTTTACACGTTTTAATGAAGCCAGGTATGATTGCTACTGAGATAACACTCCATAGAAGACCAAATGTCACAGAAATTAACAACTAAAGGCCACCGTACGTCCTTCAACAATGAACAAAGCCCATACTGCAAAATCAAACCTAAAAATACGATTTATTAATTAATTGGACTAAACAGACAACACTAACTATTTTGCATTTGCATGAAACGTAGTGTAGGAAAATTATAGAATCAAACCCAAAATGAGCATTTGTTATTCGTTCATTTTTTGTACATAAATTATGCCGTTAGTTTTCTCGTTTGAATTGTTTTACATTGTCATTTCGGGGCCTTTTATAGCTGTCTGTGCGGTATGGGCTTCGCTAATTTTTGAATTAATATTAATTTAATATGGTTTTCAGCGACCAGCACTCTACCAACCTTAGAAAAAAGTGTAACAGCACAACTTAAGAAAAATTATAACAATCATTTGAAAAACGCTTGTCAAATTGTATTAAAGTAACTACTTTATGTATACATTGTAATCATCCAAAAGACATTCTTAAGTATTTTAAAAGGTTAAAAATGTAAGTTATTTTAATGTTACTTAAAAAAATACTAAAAGATTTTTAAGATGTCACTATTCAGAGTTTGTAAAAATACCTCGCTTTTTGGCACCTATCTCTTGAACAATTATTATCGACTATGAGTGGAGAACATACATTCCTTTGCAAACATAGATATGCATATTTCTAGACTATCTAAATTCTACAAATTTAGTTTTCAAAATTATTTTAGTTAACTGAAATAAAAATAGAAATGCCAATTATTAAAATATCATGCGAGACGATACTAAATATATATTATTTAACTCGTTTATTGTCTGCTCAGGACACTTCAGATTCCAAAGCATGCTATGAAGCTTTTAAAGATAACGAAAGCATCCCGAATGACACCAAAGCAGAAATCAAAGAAGAATGTGGAGATTTAGATATTGCTTATGTTAAGGCTGTTCGTTGTGACACAGGTATGCTTTTTTAGTTTCAATTCTATCGTCAACTTTATGAAAGAAATGAAGTTGTTGGAATGCTCCCCTTAAATTTATACAAAATATTTGCAACAAAAGTGTTGCAAATAACAAACAACAAATCAATCGTGCAGTCCCGCAAAAAAATATACAAGACTCATTTAGGTTCGCCGAACCTGCTTTCGTCTACAACCGGCGTTACTGAATTCAAACTAAAGAGGTTCGCAGGATTCATTACATGACGTCTCATGTGGAAAGTTAACAAATACTTAATTATATTTATGATAAACACAGTATTTAGATACAATATATCAGCATAAGCTTAATAAAAGTTGCTCTTCAAAAAAGGATAACAAAAAAAATACCAAACTCCTAGGTAAACTCATATAGGGATAGTTCTTAAAACCTACAAGTCTAACTTTATACTTAATCAACCAACGACACGAATAGAAAACAACTGTCTTATTCCGAACTTGGTACAGGCATTTTCCGGAGAAGCTGATATCTTAAACTGTTTTTAAAGCTACCTAAACTTCCCACTTGTATAACAGTTGTTCATAGTTAAGTTATATTGATGAAATTAAGTGAGCAACCCAAACAGATATAATTAAGGTTAATGCGACAATTATTGGGATCCAGCAGCTAAAACTGTGCAAGCATATACCACAATTTATACAAAGTTGTCCCTCACTTTAATTTTTTTCCTAATTCGAACCTTATTTAGTCCGGGTTTTTCTACAGTTGAAGATTTTTTCTTCGTGCGTTTTGATTGACTACCTAAATAAAGGCAACAGTAGTATACCGCTGTTCAAAAGTCATACATCAATTGAGAGAAAACAAATGCGGGTTACAAAATAAAACCGAGGGAAAACCATCATTTTTAAGAGGAAAACAACGAAACAACAGAAACACTAAAGTGCAATAGAAAACAAACGACAATGCAACATAATTAGAAACGATTTATTAGATAACAACTGCCATATTCCTGACTTGGTACAGGACATTTTAAGAAAAATTGCTGGGTTGAACATGGTTTTGTTGCTAGCCAAACCTCGCACTTTATGGCAATGTTCAATATCCCGCTAAAGTGACGTTTTGTGACTAGCCAAACCTCGCACTTTATGGCAATGTTAAATATCCCGCTAAATTGACACCATAACATGAATGTTCAGGATCTATTTTTAGCCATTTTGCTTTTACTTGCAGAACACGGTATCCAAAAAAGGTCATGTTATTATTATTCCTACCTTTATCGATGTTGCAGAAGGATAGGATGGTGGTACAGATGTTATATCTGCCGGTACACTGTCTTAAGATGCTATTGATTCGGATGCTGCAGAAGGATATGATTGTGGTACAGATGTTATATCTGTTGGTACACTGTTTTAAGATGCTATTGATTTGAAATATAGGAGTGCTTCTTTATACATTCAGTACTTTTGTCTTATCGCAACATTTTCTCTTTTATATCAAGATTCTTAAGACACTTCTGTATGGCTTTCTATGTTATATATTCGAAAATATGTTTGTCAGTGCGTCTATCATGGCTTAAAATGAATAACTTTTTTTTATCACAAATGTTATAGCAAGTTTAAATCATACTCAGGAAAAGTAAAATAATAAAAAAACCGAACTCTGAGGAAAATTGAAAAAAAAAGTTGCTTATCAAATGATGTAGAAAATGATTGATTAAATTTGGTTTCATATCTATCGAAAACTCTCACTTGTATGACGCATTACACTTGCTTTTATAGCTAGCTAAATCTCTCACTCATAAGACGGATGTTTAATTCAAACTACAATTGTTACCTTTTACTAATAAATATTAAACAAATATAATCTTATTCTCATTTTATTTACAAAATACAACTGGTTAGGAGGTGTACTCAAAATTGCAGAAAATAGAAAATCTGTATGAACGTTATTTTTGCAAATTTCACGAAAACAAAACTGTTTGAAAATATTCTAGAACTGCATAAAGCACAAAAAGATCAGATCAGAGAACATCCCACCCCAAAAACAAATTTGAAATGCTTGCGCTCGCAAAAAATCAGACATTAGTTTTTTTAGTGGATTTTCATGTGACTCACAACAAATTGAATCCATCAATGATGTAACTGATAGCAATTTATCTGAAGGAAACAGACATATTATCTCATATTGGAATCTGTTTTACTATCACCTGTATTTACATTGCACCTTTCATGCACAAACTCCCAAAATATGACAGGATAGTCAACCAGCTGAAAGTAGCCACTTAACGGACGAAGAAGAAAACAGGTGGTATGCTTGGCACTGAAACAACTATCCACTAGAGGACACATGACGTTGATGTATGAACATCATAGGTCACCGGACGGCCTTCAAGGATGAACAAAACGCATATCGCATGTTCAACTTGAATTAGCCCTGACATTACAAAATGTGGAAAAGTCAAAGGAGGAAACCAAACAGTAAAAAAATGACAAACGGCAATCATTAAATTGCGGACTCCTGATTTTGAATGGGCACATAAAGCGGGTTATAATGGGGTTGAACGTGGTTGAGAGGCCTCAATCCTCCTCTCACTATAATGGGACAGTTAAGAACTCACAATTACTGAAGCTTAACTAAAGCATGTTTATTATATCTTTGTTCATACCAATAAGAACTTATATGAATCAATATTTTATCAGCCCTGACTTTACAACTATCCTTATAAACTGTAGAATATACATAGTATTAGGAAGAATTATGGTATACTCCTTGTTAACTTGTTTAAAGGAAATAAACATCTTCTTTGTATTCCTTAAATGAACATTTAAAACACATCACTGCAATATTTTGTTTTCTGCTCACCTTTTGTTTCCTACAACACAATATAGATTATCCAACATATGTATTTCTTTTAAAATGTATAATAGCCATTCAAATATATATAACATGGACATTTGGACACCCGTTTGGGCACCTTTTCAAGCTTAAAAATATGTGAATAGGTCGAGAGACCTATCCGAAATATATGATAAGGTCAATAAAGTTTCCATTATTTCTTCGTCTGTCGTCCTTGTTGGTGTTTCCGGCTGTGTTTTTATCAACTTTTTTTTTCTCTCTTTTGACACTTTTGTATTACACACTTACATTTCACAACACAAAACGAAACCAAAAAATATGAGACAAGGTAACGGTTTTACCTACGCAATGTATGAAAAGGTATTCATTTTCAACATCTAAATTATATGAAAAGGGTGGGGTAACAGAACCCCAGCGGTACCCTCTATCAATTAAGTATTGAAGTGCCAAGAGTTTTGTGATCAGTTGTCTTTATATTGTCTTGGTTACAACAAATGTTTATGTTTAGTCAACCAAGCGGTAATATGAAACCAAGTGACAATGTCATTTCATTTTACTTGAATGATATTAAATGAAAATCTACCTTCCAAAAATTAGTTTAATTTGAAAAACCAATTTATATAACATATCTTATATTATCAGTTCAACAAGATGACAACGTCATTATATGATGAACTATGCTTGCTGATAGATATGGATTTGCTTTCGTTTTGACAATAATCGCATTGTCATTAAAAGCATCACCTTGTGAAGATTTACTTTTTCGAAGTCGTGTATTAAATAACTTATCAATGATTTCCAATTGGCTACTAAAAAACTGTTAAGCAACTTATGTGCAGAGCATATGATCTTACATATTCTGGTTGCCTTTTCATTGCCATATGCATCACATCACATGTTATTGAATACATGATCGGTTGCAGCCAGCAATAGTTTGGATCTGTCATCACTGTATTGGATACCTAAACTACATCAATGTCCTTACAAACAACAGTATATTGCTGTATCTTCCAAGTGCTCCACGAAACCTCTTTCTAAGTTATTATCATCTATTTTATCAGCATCAAAGCTGGACTTCAAAGCTATTGTGAAACTGCCTTGTCTAGGGGTGGCGTGAATCAGATATAGATACTAAAAAATTCCAAAGATATTTAGAGTACATACAATCTAAGACTCTCTCATCTTGCAATAGTATTAAAACATTTGACTTTTCTACACTTTACCCAAGAATTCCCCATTCTAAACTAAAAGACAAATTGAAAGAGTTGGTATTGCTTTGTTTCACAAAAAGAATGGCGAATGTAGATACAAGTATCTTGTCTTAGGGAGGGATAAATCCTACTTTGTAAAGAATCACTATGATTTAAACAAAAACATTCCTGAAACTAACATTATCAAGATGTTTGATTTCTTGATTGACAACATATTAGAAGACGTGTTTTTCAACAGACTGTCGGCATTCCCATGGGATCCCATTGTGCCCCTCTTTTTGCCAACTTGTTCCTTTATCAATATGAGGCTGACTTCATACATAAACTTCTTAGGAAGAAAGATTAGTAGTTAGCAATATCATTTAACTTTACTTTCCGCTATATAGATGATGTTCTCTCAATAAATAATTTAAAATTTGGTGACTATGTTGAACGCATCTCTCCCATCGAAGTAGAGATAAATGATACAACAGATACAGTTAAGTCTGCCTCATATCTTGACTTACATCTAGAAATTGACAATAAGGGGCGGTTAAAACAAAACTGTACGACAAAAGAGTTGATTTCAGCTTCCCAATTGTGAACTGTCCATTTCTATGTAGCAACATTCCAGCAGCGCCTGCATACGGAGTATATATCTCCTAATTGATACGATATTCCCGGGCTCGTATTTACTATCATGATTTTCTTGATAGAGGGTTGCTGCTCACAAGGAAGCTATTAAACCAATAGTTCCAAATGGTGTAGTTGAAGTAGTCTTTTCGTAAATTTTACGGACGCCATCACGAGTTGGTTGACCTTTATGATTTAACCGTTTCACAGATGATATCGGATATGTTCTTTATGTCGTAACTACAATCTCCTTCCTTTTTCAAGAATGTGACCTACCGCATAAGACTATTTACCGGGTTTGTAATAACACGACGGGTGCCAAATGTTGAGCAGGTTCTGCTTACCCTTCCGTAGCACCTTACATCACCCCTAGTTTTTGGTGGGGTTCGTGTTGCTTAACCATTTGTTTTCTATGTTGTGTCTTGTGTACTATTATTTGTCAGTTTGTCTTTTTCGTGTTTAGCCATGGCGTTGTCAGTTTATTCTATGAGTTTGACTGTCCCTCTGGTATCTTTCGTACCTCTTTGCTAGTTTCTTTCATTTACGTCAATTTAAAAATCGGGAAGTATCTATGAACCATTAGATCCACTGTTCGAGAACAGGCAATATAATAAGAAATAAACAAATAGGTCGCGAATACTGACAATGGTTGATACAAATCTGTTTTCGAACATAATTTTATCATTAAATTAAGAGTTATATCATGTTTATTTTTAATCTATAGATTTTGTTAGAGACGAGAGTTAAAAGCTTCGTAGTACATTTGTAGTTTATGAAATACTTACACTTGCAGTTGTCTAACATTAGTCACATTATGAAAAAAAGTAATTTTACTTTTACTGCAAAATTTTGCATAATGGGTTGACATTTATAACATTTTAAATTATACTTATTTACCAAAACCATGTTGCTATTTGTTTTACAATTTAATGCGTTTATGTAGTAATGAAAACTTATGTTCAGTGTTTGTTTATTTGATTTGTTTATATGTCTTTTGACTAAGTCAGCCTTTTCAATAGATATTTTATGTATGTGTGTTTTTCTATGTTATAATGTTACATTCAGGTTGTGGGGAAGTTTGGCGCCTATAAAAACGTTTGAACCCGCTGCATTTGTTTGTTGTTTTTCCTGTTTGAATGGTTTTACACTAGTCATTGTAGGGCCCGTTATAGCTTACTGTTCGGTGTGAGACAAGGCTCCGTGTTGAAAGCCGTATTATGACCTATAATGGTTAAAACAGGTTGTTGGCATGACACGGGTTATGTTCTTCTCATTTTTTTTATGATGGCATGATTCTAAACCCCCTATGGCAGGGATTGTGCTTGAGATTCATATGATGAAGACATAATCTTTTAATCAGTTTAACTGAGATCTGGAGCTGGCTTGTCAGTCACTGCTATTAGTCTTTTGTTTATGTATGTATAATTGTCGTTTTTTTTTTTGTTTCTTTTTTTACCTATTCTGACATCGGAATTTGACTTCTTTACAACTGAGTTTTACTGTGCCTATTATTGTGTGTTTGGTTATTCTACATTGGCTAGAGGTATATGGGTAGTGTTGAGATCTAACAAAACATGTTAAACCCAGCCGCATTTTTGCGCCTGTCCCAAGTCAGGAACCTCTGGTCTTTTCAAGTCTAGTATGTTTCTTTTAAATTTTAAAATAGAGAATGGAAATAGGGAATGTGTCAAAGAAACAACAACCCGACCAATGATTAAATAAACACAGTTAGTTCATTTATATGTTTTGGAGTTTAGTATGACGTCAGTTTTCACTAGTACAAATTGTTATTAAGAGCCAGCTGAAGCCCGCCTTCATGTGCCTAATTTTTTTGCTGTGTTGATGACCTATTGGTGACCTTCGTCTGTTATCTGCTGTTTGGTCGGGTTGTTGTCTCCTTGACATATTCCCCATTCCCATTCTCAATTTAATACTTTATAAATAGGCATGGGCAAAATTAAGACAACGTTCATACTACCGTCCATGAATTGACCACTCTTAAAGTTGCTACATGTAAGGGACATTTTCCACTAAACCAAGGGACATGCCAATAAAAGTATCCTAGGATATTTCCTAAAATATGCCTTAGGACATTATTAAAGATAACGTTTTTGATCTGAGCGTCACTGATGAGTCTTATTTACACAAAACGCACGTCTACCGTATTAAATTAAAAGC